AAACCTCCTCTGCTCCAACCCCAGCTGCTCTTCACCCAACCCAGCAGATGAACCGGGCACAGGCAGAGCTGCTTCCCCCTCGGCAGCAGCTCCCTGCCTGCCCATGGCCGTGCCCACCCTGCTCTGGAGGCAATGCTTCCCACTGAATTTGGGGTTCTTTTTCCCCAGTATTGGCCCTTTCTCACTTTTGCTTGCTCCTCCCAGGCTGCTGGAGGGGAGCAGAAAAGCTCATCTGCTCTACATGCACACACACACATGGACACACGTGAACATATAGCAATAGGACAAGAGGGAATGGCTCTAAACTGGAAGAGGGGAGGGTGCAGGTTGGATGTCCTTCACTATGAGGGTGGTGAGACACCACTATGGAAGTGTTGAAGGGCAGGTTGGATGGGGCTTGGAGCAACCTGGTCTAGTGGGAGGTGTCCTTGGCCATGGAGAGGAGTTGGAACTAGATGATCTTTAAGGTCCCTTCCAACCCAAACTAGTCTGGGAGCCTATGACTTGCACACGCAGCGGCTGCTCCCCAAGGGCTGTCAGTCCTGTCCTGGTGGGGGGAGCCCCACGGGAGCTGGGGCCCAGCAGCACCACAGCTTCACCCAGGGTGGCTCTCACCTGCCCACAGGCTGCATCCTACTACTGCAACAAGCTGGGGTTCGAGGAGCTGGCGTACCGGGGCCTGGAGACCGGCAGCAGGGAGGTGGTCTCACATGTCATCAAGCAGGACAGGGTAAGGGGGACAATGCATCTTGCTGGGGGGCAGGCTGGGGGGACACTAGCTGGTGTCGGGTGTGTGGGTGCTGCCCAAACCTCTTTGCACCATTAAACCCTGCAGCTGGGTGCATCTGCCCCAGCCTGGGGGCACCAGCACCTCCCCATCCCTGACCTCTCCTCCTCTTCCTCGCCAGATCGTGTTTGTTCTCTCATCTGCTCTCAACCCAGGGAATGAGGGTAGGTGTTGTGGGGACGTGGGGGGAACAGAGTGGGGAAGGGCTGCCCTAGAGCCAAGTGCCTCTGCTCATGCCTGGGCTGCTCTTGCTCCGGGCAGAGATGGGGGAGCACCTGGTGAAGCACGGTGATGGGGTGAAGGACGTTGCCTTTGAAGTGGAGGACTGTGACTTCATCGTACAGGTAGGCAGCCCCTCAGCTCCCTCCTGCATGGCACCCCAAAATGGCAAGGGGACCTGGGGAAGGGCCCAGGCCCATCTCCTCCCAGCCTGGGGGAGCTGCAGCAGGGGAAGGTCTCTCTTTTTCTGCCCAGAAAGCCAAGGAGCGTGGAGCTGTGGTGGTGAAGGAGCCCTGGGTGGAGGAGGACAAATTTGGGAGGGTGAAGTTCGCGGTGATCCAGACGGTAAGTGGCAGGGCAGCTGTGGGGGCTGAGCCCCCCCCACAGAAGTAGGTTGGACCCAGGTGATCCCAGAAAAAACAGGCCCACCACACTTCTTTCCCCCCCTCTCACAGTATGGTGACACCACCCACACCTTGATAGAAAAGCTCAACTACAAGGGCCTCTTCCTACCAGGGTACCACCCACCCCTCTTCAAGGACCCCCTTCTGCCAAAGCTGTGAGTACTTTCAGAGGGTCCTACCTGGCTCTTTGCCACCATGCACTGGTGGGATGCCCCACCCAAGAACCAGACAGGTCCCCCCCATAACAGCCCAGAGCTCCCTGTGGTGTGGGGTGCCCCAAGCTCAGCTGAGAGCTTCCCCCTGGCTTTCCCCCACAGACCGAGTACCAAGCTCAGCTTTGTTGATCACGTTGTGGGGAACCAGCCCGACCTCCAGATGGTCCCAGTGGCAGACTGGTAAGAGTGGGGAGGCCTGGTGGGAGGTGAGATGGTGGTCTCATCCCCTTCAACATCAGTGGTTGGGGCTAATTAAGCCAGAGCAGAAGTTTGTTAGTGCAGAAATGGAGCAAGGGACATGAACATGCCTTTTGTGGCCTGGGCAGGTACCAGAAGAACCTGCTGTTCCACCGCTTCTGGTCAGTAGATGACAAGCAGCTGCACACTGAGTTCAGTGCCCTGCGCTCCATCGTGGTCACCAACTACGAAGAGACCATTAAGATGCCCATCAATGAGCCAGCACCTGGCAAGAAGAAATCCCAGATCCAGGTGAGCCCAGGCTGGTGGCTGATCCATCAGGCTGCCAGCACCTTGAGAGGGGCTTTGGTGAAGGAGAAGGGACCAAGGGGTCAGTGATTCAGAGCTGGAACAGATGTGCTGTGCTAGGGTGGCTGCTGGAAAGCAGCCCTGGCTCTGCTCAGGTCTGCTGAGGGCTGTCAAGCCCAAAGGTGGTGACACTTTTTCCCTGTAGGAATATATCGACTACTATGGCGGGGCTGGAGTGCAGCACATCGCGCTGAACACCTCGGACATCATCTCAGCAGTGAGTGTAGCCCTGGCATTGCTCCACCTCTGCCCTGTCCCACCTGGCATGGTCCTCATCCCAGGGAGTGGTGGACTATGACCCCCGCTGGGGTCCAAGGACATGGGCAGGCTGAGCAGGCTTTGTGCCATGGTTGTTTTACAACCAGGATTAACCCAAGGAATCACTGGGAAGGGACCTGCCTGTAGCTGCAAGCTGGCAGATGCCTGTCCCTCCAGCTTGAAGCAACTGGGATCTGCAAGGCTAGGGTGGCTGCTGGAAAGCAGCCCTGGCTCTGCTCAGGTCTGCCGAGGGCTGTCAAGCCCAAAGGTGGTGACACTTTTTCCCTGTAGGAATATATCGACTACTATGGCGGGGCTGGAGTGCAGCACATCGCGCTGAACACCTCGGACATCATCTCAGCAGTGAGTGTAGCCCTGGCATTGCTCCACCTCTGCCCTGTCCCACCTGGCATGGTCCTCATCCCAGGGAGTGGTGGACTATGACCCCCGCTGGGGTCCAAGGACATGGGCAGGCTGAGCAGGCTTTGTGCCATGGTTGTTTTACAACCAGGATTAACCCAAGGAATCACTGGGAAGGGACCTGCCTGTAGCTGCAAGCTGGCAGATGCCTGTCCCTCCAGCTTGAAGCAACTGGGATCTGCAAGGGCCCTGATGGCACATGCTGTCCTTGGGGGGGTGGCTGGGGGGGAGTTTGGGCAGCCCAGGCTGCTGGGTGAGCCACCATAGCCCATCACCCACCTGAGGCAGATGCTGCTCTTGAGTGCTTGGTTTTGGGCTCCTCTCCAGACCAAAGGACCTCCAGAGGTACTAGGGGGTCAGGGTGAGCTGAGGTATCCTTGCATGGTGGCCAACTTTCTGCATTGCCTGGAGAGGGGATCTCGAACCCTCCCGTTCCTGGTGTCCAAAGCAATAAGGTGGGACAGGTCCTCATGCACAGGGCTAGCCCATGTAATAAAAAAGCATCACTCTCCTCCCAGTACCATCCATCCCAGGCCACCCTCCTGGCACAAACCACCCCACAAATGAGCCCCAAGCCCACCTCAAACCATGGTCTCCTTTGTTTTGCAGATCACCAACCTGAAGCAGAGGGGCCTGCAGTTCATGGACGTGCCATCCAAATACTACCAGGTGCTGCGGGAGAGGCTGAAAACTGCCAAAATCAAAGTGAAGGAGAACATTGACAAGCTGGCGGTGAGTTGGACCAGCATGAGATGGAAGAGGTTTGCACGGGGCTGGACCAGCTCCCCAGAGTGTTTTGCAGGGGTGAGGGTGATGAAGAAGGATCCCCTTGCTCCTCTGTAGTCTCTGAACTGTCACTGTTTCTTTTCTCCAGGAACTGAAAATCCTGGTGGATTTTGATGAAAAAGGCTACTTGCTCCAGATCTTCACCAAACCAGTTCAGGACAGACCCACGGTCTTTCTGGAGGTCATCCAGAGGTATAACCACCAGGTTGGTTTGAGAATTTCATTATGATCTTGACTTCCAGACCCCTCGCCCAGCCAGCTCTCATGCTGCTCTTTCCCAGCCAATGGACCTGCTGCCCATCCTTGCAGTCTGTAACGTTGTCATCTCCACAGGGCTTTGGTGCTGGGAACTTCAAGTCTCTGTTTGAAGCAATAGAAATAGACCAAGATGCAAGAGGAAACCTGACGGTCCTGGAGCCCAACGGGGAGACCAGGCGCATCTAGAGCATGGCAGAAACACTGCCCACAGCCCTAATGAGCTGATTCATTAACGAACCAGGAAACGGCCAATGTTTTGGTAAATAGCCCAGACCTAAGTGTCATAAATCCAGGGGAGTTGCTGCCAAGTTGGAGATGTAAAAGGACTCAACACCTACCCTGACCCAGCGCTGTCCTTCGGTGACTTCTTGGGAGAGGGAGCGTGGGAAACAGCAAACGCGCTCTTAAAAAGCAGTTTAATCTGATCCAAACCACTGAATTCCTAATAAAGGGCAGATTTAAGGCACTTGCCAAAGACAAGCAGCTACAGAGCAGGACAGAAGCAAGAACTGGGAGGGCTTAAATTTAGTCTATCCAAGGTTTTCTGTTAATTTTAGCTAGGCAGGGGGCTGGGAGGGGAAGGCACAGAGGCATTTGCTTCTCCCTGCGTCTCATTTTGTAAGACTTTATTTTAATTGCTTTTAGACTCAATCTTGAATTTGAATTTGCTGAGATTAAATACATGGGTTTAGGGTAGCTACAACACTCTGGAATGAGACCTAATCAAATGGATGTACTGCAGCCTTCCCAAGGCAACACAGTCTTGCTCTAATACCTGTAAATTCCTGAATGAATGAAGGTTTTGGGTTTCTCCCACGTTTCAAGAAATAACTGCTGGCATTGGCAGCAATTCCTTGGCTCAGATCCTGGTTGCATGTGGAAAGTCCCCTCTGGGTATCTCTCTGGTGTTGCCACTGCCCTTGGCAAGGGGACTTTCCCAATCAACACAATAAAACCCTTTTCTGTCACAGTTTGAGTGTCTGGCACGTTAACTCTGCTCCATGCTCCCTGTGGCTGCAGGTCAAATGCTTCCTGAGGTGTCCACAGACCTCAGAACTCCAGAGCTGAGGAACATCTCAGGGTCTTCAGAGCCTGCAGCTTTCCCCACTGTTATCTCCCCACTGCTTATCTCTAAAGTCCTGGTGCACCCACCTCTGCTCCCCAAGCTCCCCAGCATCAAAGATGCTCAAACTCTGAGCAGCCAAAGCCCCTGCCAAGCCCCTAGCTCAGGACCAGCTTCTCAGACATGAATCCCTCCACCAGCCCAAGCCCTTGCCCCATCCTGCCACCCTCCAGTCTGAGCCTCTCTGCCCAGTGCCAGCCCCGCAAGGTTTGGTGGTCCTGTGTCCTCATCCCACCATGCACAGCTGCAGAAACCTGAGCTGGGAAGTCACCTATAGCCCCAGCTCTCTGCTGTCTCCTCCATGACCTCCTTTATCAGCTGGTCCATTTGTCTCTGCTCTGGGTGTCTCTTTTCTAAGGCTCAGAGCAGCCAGTTTGACCCCTCGCACATGGCTGGCTCCAGGTTGTGCTTCCACCCACATCCAACCTTGGTGGCTCCCCCAGTTCCCTCCTCCTGGAAACCACAGATACCATCATGCATTTCAGATTTGAATAAACTAACCTAAAAGAAAGAAACCAAAAGGCCTCTGGCCCAACAGCCTTATTGCATCACCCCAACCAGCAGCACTGACACCTCACTTTGTAGCTTAAGGGCTTTCACCTCCATAAAGTTAAAAACATGTATCTGTGAGCTCAGAAAATTCCCAGGCAGCACCAAAGGTTGGATGGGTTCAGGATACCCAGCCCCATGGCCCAGGTGAACACCCAGCTGTGCCTCAGCTCTTAAGGTTTGGAAGGATTTCTAACACTAGGAAAATGTTCTTTATCAACTTTAAATCACTCATATATTTCTTTCATGCAATATAATGTTGTTTGAAGTAATTTCCTGCTCACCAGAATTAAAATTTCCAGTAAGCGTTGCTGAAAATCAGTTCTTTGGGCTGATCTTTTTTCTGGATCTGGTTCCTTGAGCTCTGGTGGTTTCCAGCACAGGTCTGAGAGCAAAAAGCTGCCTTGGCTACATATTAAGCACAACATCATTTTTCTGTAAGAAAAGTCAGTATATTTATGGTTTGCTTTATAAAAGTTACTATAATACAATGGTACATAGTATTCAATTCACAAAAATATGAACAAATATATACAGCATGACACATCCACAACAAAAACACTTTCTTCAAAACAAGATACATACTGGTGACAGGTTCTATATGCACAAAACATCCCTAAATTTATAAATTTGCTTAACAAAAGAAAAAGCAGAAATCCTAAACCTTCAAAGCAGAGTTGTGGTTTTTCTTTAAAGGAACTTAAAAAGATTTAATTTCATTTATTGCAAACCATTTTAGCTACCTCCTTTTAAAGGAGGCCCTTTAATTTTCACACTGAATTAAAACAAACTGTTTATAGAACCAGAAAACTGCAGGATTGGGAGCCTGGGGTTGTTCTCTTTTGCTTTTAAAACTGCCCATTTGTTTTAGAGTGTCCGTTACGATGTGTTTCTTTTCACTTGGACAAATACTACTGTGGCAATTAAGGAGGAAACTCATAAAAGCAAAACAAATATTAACTTGAAAAAAAATAATAAATCCAGTTGCAAACTCACTTAAATACATTTTAGGGTGTCTATTAGACTGTACACATTTCCTCGCTTGAAATAAATAGATTCTGCACATTAGGTTTCAGACTGAAGGGGGGGAAAGAAGAAGCCTTGACTTGGCAATTTTTTTTGTCTTCAGTTTCTTAATGCTTCTAATTCCATCTATTTATTTGACAAAAAGACATATTTATACAGAATTTACATTATACAAAGCTTGACACAAGCTGTAAATGCCACCAGCTCCTTTGCTATATACTTAGTCCTTCTTCCTCCCCATCTCCTTGACATGATTTAGAGCTGGAATCTGTTTAAAAAGAACTCCAAATTACAATAGTCACTTTTAATAAATTATTTACATGCTCTTGAAGTACAAAGAAATCAGCAAAAAAATTTCAACATGTTTCTACAAGAAACAGTGTTTGAAGAGAAGATTCTTGAGTTTGCCTATGTACAGAAGATGCATTTTTTTTATACTTCAAAATCCTTTTCTCCTTAAATTTTTATTTTATACAGAAATGCACTGAAATGATCCCTGAAAAAGGTCACAAAAAACAGAACTGAAAGGACTGTATACTTTGTTGGAGTTTAAAAATGTTCTTTTTTTTTGTTTTTGTTCTTCTTGTAGAAATAAGCTGCTCTATACAATATAAATACCTGCAAGATGATCCCACCTTCCCCTCCCAGATCCCTGATAAGTCACAGACCACTTCTTGGGACCAAGCTGGAATGGCAGAGAGGGTGTGAGCCCATGGGATCAAGGAAGCTGTTGGGCAGTGGTGGGTGGGATTTAGAAGCTTCCTAGAAACACCAACCAAGGAGGCACCTGCACCCTGAACTCAAGCCAGCTTCAAGTTGGGAAAACTACAGATTTCAGTTACTCTCCTAAACTTTTTGCATGATTCTCTTGGATCATTTCACCCAGCAAGACACAATTTAGCAGGGAGCACAGTCAATGCCTCTCTTTTTATTTTGTCTTAGGTTTCAGTTTAAATTGGGGATGGGCTTTTCAGTGAGCAAAACCACTCCAGTAAATCCCTGCATAAAGCAGCACATGCTGCTGAGGTCTCTTGCCAGTCCTTGCCACTATGTTCATGGGGTCCCATCCAGGCTAGCCTGTTGACTCACACACCTTCTGCCTTTCTCCTTCCATCTCACCCCTTTCTAAGCACGAGCCAAAGTACCTGGGAAGGATTAGAAAGGCCTCTCCATGGGGCTGCCTCTCCAAACCACACCTGTGGCTGCAGGGCTCTCCTCTGCCCTGATGATCCCTGGCTTGTAGGGACAGGGCAGCCACCAGCAACTGCAGCAGCTTCTGGAAATCCCTCAACCAGAGATAATCCTCACCATTAAATGCTGGTTTGGGGCAGCTCCACAGGATGAGACAGAAGCTGTGTGGGGAGGACCGTGCAAGCCAAGGTTTATGGGGAAGAAAAGAAAAGCCTCAGGTTTGGCTTTGAGACCAGACCAATGTGAATTTTCAGAAGTGCTACAGGTCCAACACCTCCATTTCCTCCTGGTGGGTTACTGGGAGCTCAGGTCTTCAAAAAATTGACATTATTTGCCTGGGACAGTTTCAGAAGTAACCAAGGGATTTAGATGTTCATGGTCTTTAGCATCCAAAGTCCTTTGGTGCTCCTAAAAATGTGGAAGGACCCCAACCTTTAGGTCTTGTTTCAGAACATGATGACCTGTCTCCCTGCCTCTCCTCAACAAAGATTAAGGCAAACTACAGGGGCTATTCCCATCCAGAGCACACAGATATGCTGGGAAATACAAAACTGTCAAGTAGGTACTCAGGGGTGGAGCTATCTGGGGTGTCTGCAACCCAAAAAAACACTGTTAATGCACTGGCTTGACAAGAGAGGGAGAAGGCCAAGGACACCAGCAGGACTGCCACATGTGGGGGCTTCAGTTCTGAGACACAGGAAACTTCTGTGCATTTCCAAAGCTTTCAAAGTAAAAGGCCAAGATGTAGATGCCAATTGGAGCATCAACACAAGAAGATAAACCTTATTTTTAAAAAAGTAAAAGAAATTGAGCAGCTGATTTAACTCCCAAATGCTCCTGCCATCGCTGCAGTTACAACCAATGTTGAATGACAGAAACTAGTTGTGCTTCTCTTAATTTTAGGTTCCGGTCACCATTACCCAATTGCTAGGGAGATTTACAAAGAGGGGGGGAACAACAAAACAAGAGCAAAACAAAAACAGAGATGAGACTATGGACTGTCCAATCTCAGGGGCAATTTCCTCACCCTCAGACAGAAATGCAGGCAGTATTAAGGCAGCTTGTAGCTGTGTGTGCCTGTTCTTTCAGGCCTTTTGCCTGAGGAAGAAATTCAGATGCAGAGGCATCTAACTTACATTGCTCCACTCTGCAGTGCAGGCCTGGCAACTCCACGTAACAGCTGAAAAAACTTCCAGGAGACTCTTTTGGCAGCTTGTAACCTCTGATCATGGAGATGTGGTCACACAGCAATTATCACTGATTTTAAAAGGCTACAAGAATACAGCTGTGCAATTTG